AAAAAAACACATAAAACAACCAGTTCCCATTTCCAAGTCTCCTGGAGCCAGGGGAGCCTCTTTCCCTGGAAAAGAGCAGGGGCGAAGTCACCGGGAGGGAAGTCCTCCTGGCGCGGGGTCCGAAAAGCACGGAGATGAATTGCAATGTCCAAGCTGCTAGCCCTGTAGGTCAGAAACTACTCTTTCTCGGGAGATGGGAGCCGGGAATAGATCCATCCATCCCTGGAGAGACGGCCAGCGCCGAGCCCGGAGGTTCAGCACCTCATGCCTGCGTCCCCAGGCAGCCTTGAGAACTTGGTACCTCGGACAGCAGCCCGGGCGCACGGCATTGCTGGAACGGTGTTATCCGGTTTTCTCCCAAAGAACAATAAATTATTTTTATGACCTTACTAGTACAATTGAAGGACATTTTAATTACATAACACGGGGCAGATCACCGGAGGCAACATCGTGTTAAAGAGCCGATGGCAGAATGTCTGCATCGCAGGAGAAAGAGAGAAAACTTGCAAATCTGCAACGAGATTGCGCAGGACCGTGTCCCCGTTTTGAAACAACATGCGAAATGCAAGGGAGCTCTTACCTTTCGGACCCCAAAGCCGTGCTCCGCTGCAACTTGGCGAGCCGCTTCCTCTCCTCCTTCGTGCAACTCCACGAGAAAATGATTCGTGAAGACCGGTCTCTTGGCAGATGCAAAAACCATGACACCGAAGAGGAGCCCGGCGGCCACCTTCCACCGGGAGACACCGCCGCCTTTCATCTTCGGGAGTGGAAAGTGGTGCTAGGAGGCGCGCAGGCTGGCGGCGCGGGGACCCGGAGGAAGGTGCAAATAAGAAATAGAGATAGTTTTTTGTTTGTTTGCTTGCTTTTTTTTTTTTTTTAAAGGAATCTTTGTGTAAAGAAAGAGACTAATCAGGGGCTTGGAACGCAGCAAATCAGTGTGTGCTCTCCAGCATCTGGCCGGCGGCCGGCGGGCTGGCGGAGGTGCGAATGCGAGGCGCGGTGTGCATTCGGGAGAAAGAGCGAGTGTCTGTCTGGGCTGGATGCTAAATCTGCATTTTCAGCTCCTCCTCAGCTCCCATCCCTCCGGGGCGGGAGGAGAGCACCAGTCCGGGTGACGTGCGCCCGCCAGCGACCAATGGGGAGCAGAGAA